AAAAAAAAAATTCTATATTGAGAAGTGCTACTAAGCATTTCTGTACCCTACCGTAGGTTTTCTGTCATCTTCTAAGGACTTCTGGAAACCTAAAGAAATAGAAATTCTTTTTCACCTATTTTGATTTCTAGTAGTATTTCATATGAACAGCAATGGAATTGTAACTCCAAATATTAGTAAATGTGTGAGATTTTTATTGTTTGTTCTTTTTTCAATAGCTGATTATTTTCATGGCATTAGCCAATGGAGTTTCCAGAATAAAAACAGGACCAGTTACACTCCATACGCAAACAGCTATACATTTTGCTGAACAACTAGCAAAGGTAAATATTCCATCATAAAGAGTAATTGATTTCCATTGTAGCCAATTTGGGGTTAAATTTTAATGAACAGAAAATTTAAGAGTAATCATAACTCCAATATCACTCACTGAGTACTTCCTTTATGGCAGACACTGAACTAACCCAGCAATTTATTTGAATCCTCTTACTCTGTATGACCAGTGTAGGTGGCTATTTGTTATTACTCCCATTTTACTTATGAGTAAAGTGAGACAGAGAGATTACTTAAATTCTTCAAGGCCACATAATTTCTTAGTGACAGAAGTAGGCTTTGAGCAAACCTGGGAAAGCATACTTCAAAGCTCATGTTATAACTGCTGTGTGGTACTACCTTACAGAGTAAGGAAATATATTTTTGGGGTTTTTTTTGGCAGCTGGCTTGTATAGAGATCGAATCCTGGACTTTGGTGTTATCAGTAACATACTGTAATCAACTGAGCAAATTGGCCAGCCCCGTAAATATATTTTAATGAGAACTATGATATTAAATTACAAGAGGTTTATGGTTGGCTATAAACTTAAATATTTATATAAAATTTTAAATGTTTTATTTTCTTGTGATTCTTTCGGTAGATTAAAATATTTGCTGAGGGCTGGCTGATTAGTTCAGTTGGTTAGAGAATGGTGCTAACACCAAGGTCCAGGGTCCAATCCCTGTACTGGCCAGCTACCTGAATGAATGAATGAATGAATGAATATAAATAAATAAATAAATAGCTGGAATTCTAACATTCACTAGTACTCTTAAATTTATTTATTTATTTATTTATTCCTCTTTTTTTGTCTTTTTTACTGACCGGTAATGGGATCGCAACCCTCGGTGTCGCACCCGTACCGGGGACCGGCAATGGGATCGCAACCCTCGGTGTTGCGCCCGCACCGCGCTCAGCCAGTGAGCGGGAACCGGTCTCCACATGGGATCCGAACCCTCAGCGGGAGCGCCGCCGCA